TATTATTATTATTATTATTATTATTATTATTATTATTATTATTATTAATTATTATTATTATTATTATTATTATTATTATTATTATTATTATTATTATTATTATTAACAAATATCTATTTAGAGAACTGGTTCAGCGCTCCCAGGAGGGAGTGACCCCAGAGATTGATGTTAATAAGATCCAATTCGCCAAATGAACGCCTGAGGCTGGAAATAAGGCCTCTGGCAGCTAGAGCTCCCAGACAACAACCGGGAGGGATAGGCTGCTAATCCTTGCCCTGAGTGCTTCTGCGGAAAGCCAACAAACTTGCTAATTTTAATTAAATGCACAATACAGCCCAGTAACAGCTCTCACAGGCTGGAAGGCCTGTGAATAGAACTAGCCCCTTCACAGCTGCAATGAGGCCAGGAAAATGGCGCCCGAGCACACGGCGGCGCCCAAAATGGCGGCCACCCACGATCTCCTTATTAACGGGCCGCTCAGAGCGAGACTAAGCCTCTCCGGCAAGTTTAGAGGCCGAGAGAAGCAGCCAGGCAAAATTCGCCCCTTCCTGGGGCGATCGGCGTTCGCGGTGGGGGGGAACACCAGCTGCGCTTTTATAGCGCGATCGGATCAAGCCGCTACGAGGGCGGCGTGGAGAAGCTCAAGGAGTGGAAAATCACACAGCCTATCCTCACGAAGGCTGAGCATAAACTGGGGAACGCAAGGGAGCCACGTGATGGAGGGCGGAGTGTTCCCCAGTAATTAAGCTCAGCCTTCAACGACGCAGACTGAAGAACCTCCCACTCTCTGGATGATCCGAGCGGCTCTAAGGAGAATGCGTTTTGCACATGTCTGTAGACTATTTCCAAAAAACATCAGCGGTGCCGCCCAGACAGCTGACAAGCGCTGTGTGCGAGTGCGCAGCGTTTCAAACTCCTCTTCTTTCTTGCTTTTTCAACCTCAGCTATGCCGCGCAAAGCAGCTGAGGTTGAAAAAGCAGGTAATAAAGGACAGCCAAGAGTCTGGGTGGGCAGCTGGGCCAAACAGAGCAGCAGACACCAAACCAGTTCGGTGTCTGCTGCTCCTCAGAGCTACCGGTTCTATAGAACCGGGCCAAACCTGTAGCATCCCACCTCTGTCTCCATCCACATATTCTAAACATTTCTCAGATTGGAAACTGAAACACTGTATAATGCTGACTGTAATATTTAGCAAATAAAACAATCACCATATTAATGTTGAAGAGAATAAGTAAGGGTTGGATGTCATCCTTAAAATCTTCCTTTTTAAATTGGAAAATAATTTTATTATACACTGTAGAAATAACTGTTTCTATAATTGCTTTCTGTGGCTGTATTAGATACCAAAGTAATGCTAAAATGCAAAGCATATTATCCAATCTATTTGACCAATCTATTTGACTTTGTGTTAATACTCTTAACACAAAGTCACCAAAGTTAGCTCAGTACCAGATTCTTGCTGTCCTGCTTGTGAATGGTTACAATTCTACTTTCTCCAGAACTTTCTTGATTTGCTTGCTTAATACTGACATCTATAATATCAGGAAAATCACAGTAGGTTTGTATGTCCTGTAAAAAACAAGAGCAAAAAATGATATTGCTTTGGAAAATAATCATTTTAAATATTTTGATAAGATTTCAATCAATTCAAAAGATGCCATTCCAATTTGGATCTGCCCTGCCCACTGCTAATAAATATATGTGATGATAGTTTATGTGACAGTATCTTTAGGCTAGGAGAACACCCCTCCTCCACCTGCCCCCTCCTTACAACATCTGCAGCCCAGCAGAAATAGGGATTGGAACATAGCCATATGATAAAAAATAATAATAAATATTTGGAAAGATTTCCAAAGGTCAACAAGTAGAAGGAATCCATCTGAATAAACTGTTAAAAAAGATTACTCCATCCTAAAGCAGCAACTGCAAATTGTGCTGAAACAATTTCCAAACATTTCTTTTCTGTAGTTATCTAAGGAAAACCTCGTGAAATACAAAGTTGTAGTATTGCCGTTAAGGGACTGAACATTAAAGGGAAATTCATACACCAGTGCCACAGTGAGAAGTTGAAAATAATTTACAATAATTTCTATTGCTAGATCAGTTTTCTCTACCAGTAACAATACTGGTAATCTTAAATTGTCCAAGTTTGCAATTCTGCTGGTTTTCAGCACAAATAAAGAAGAATTACAGGTGCATTAGTGTGCGTGGGCCTATACGAAGATTAAGAAGCAACGTATACCTGGAAGATTAACCAAGCTCCTATATCACTGAGATTGTGGAAAAAAAGTAGGTACCAACTAAGATTTATGAAACTTCCATTCTTGCCCATTAATGATCTTCTGGGAAATTATCTACTTAGCTACTGTGTAATTTTTAATCACTGTACAGCGTTGTTTCTAAACACTTACTATGCATTCTTATGACAAAGCTAAATCATTCTTAATAGGTTTCTCCGAAGTAAGCATGAAATAACAAGATCAAATATTACCTCATCTGCAAGCACCTCACTGGCATTTTGTTTTCCTCTGGAACACTGTATCCCGCCATTTCCACTTATAATAATGGTTGCAAAAGATTCTGCATTTGTAGGTTCTCTTCCAGGATCCTTCACTTTAAACTCTTCTGAGTAAAAGGCAGACTGGAGGCTTTCCAAATTAATGAGATACTTCAGTTTCAGATTTCTGGCAGTTGTTTTGCACTGGCTGAATTGTTGAATAAATTTCCGGAATCTGTACCTTATTCTTTTTCGTGTCAAAATATGATATTCTTGAATTTTTTCTCTGATGCATTTTGGCAAAAACATTTTGTAGCTGTGAATACAAGAACTACCAAATGAGTAATCAAACTTCACTAAGAGCAATTAAAAGACAGTTGTTTTTTTTACAAAAAAAGTCATGGAGTTTACAACTGAGCATTTGGTTCACCAAACAGTCTATCTACAGCCAACAGAACGAAGAACTTAAGGGGGGGGGGGGGGGGGGAGAGAGGGAGAGAGAGAAATATACTGTATTGAAACATAGATAAAAAAATTCAGGACACTTGCATTTGGCTGCCTTCCATTATGCTCCTTCAAATCTGTCATTATCTGTTTTCTGCAATCCAATGTAGTATAATGGATAATATGTACATTTTAGAACTGTGGAGAAGAAACTGCTGACAAACTGTAGGTCAGTCATGTCTTTCAGAGTGGTACATACTGTACTGAAAGCTTTGGGGAAAAGTGCAGCAGTGTGCGTTGATTTTAATTTTCCATGTGTGAACAAAATAGAGCTCCCACCTATCCTTTCCTTCTGCATTTCTGTTTGAGGACCCTCTAAAACAGATGACTATGCAATATGGGATAGGCATGTGTGTGTGTGTGCGCGTGTGCAAAAGGAAGAAAGAATTAACATTTCTGCTTGCACAATTACAGTTTGGGGCTTCTGCCAACAGATCTGAAAACCTCAACTACCGGTTGTGAAAAACAGTTAATAAGTTCAGAAGCAGTTATTGTTCTAAACCTAATGGATATCTATGCATGTTTTTGTTAAAGAAAGTAGAAGATCGTGACAGAAAAGAGAAGAAATCTCTCTTGATACAACTCTTATCAATCCTTAACTTTTATCTGTAGCAGAGGCATTAACCTTTGCCACCTAATACAAATACTTAGATATGAATTACAGTGATCTATCTAGATAGAATATATGAGAATGAGAATGTACTTTTACGTATGCTGTATATGCGATTCATATGCCATTTCAAAAAATAATTACCTTACAGAATTGTAAATGGCCAATGGAGTTTGGTCCTTTTCTTTGGCCATTCTCATTATATCAAGAACAGCCATTCCAAGACATTCTTCCTGTGTTTCATGAGTCACAGCCATTTTTACCCACCCGTGGACAAAATCTTCTCGCCACTGAATCAAAAACAAGAGTGAGAACTCAGTATTATTGTTTCTCTGTGGGTTATTTTTTTAACTACAATTTGAAAAATCTTCCATAAGAATCCATCCAAAGCACACAATTCAGCCGTATTTTGATGCTACTCCCAATCTTGCTCTATTGAAGAGTATAACCTTTGAAGTGTTTTTAGACAAGCAATATATGCATAATCAATCTAGGAGTAAATAGCTACAGGCCTATCTAATAAGTTAGCTATTTTTACCTGAGCAAATAGGTAAGACATGACAATATCATCAAGAACGGGACTCTCTGTACTTCGAGAAACGCCATATCGGTATGCTCGTATATTGCTGCTACAATACCAGTGTGGGAAATAAAATCTGTATGGAAACAGTTTGTTACATATTAATTTTTTTATTTTTTTACAGAATAAAGTTACTAAATGAGATAAAATTAGGGTTTTGAGTATGTATGTTATTCTGTCAGTCGAACAAAATGGTTTTTTTTTTTGTTACCTCTAAAATTTTGAAAGTAAACTTCATAAATGTATTGTAGCTGCTACTCAAAACTCATGAGAAGAATGTCCTACCTAATGTCCAATCTTAATAGGCAGTACCAAATATCCCAGACCTAATTTTGACACATATAATTTCAAGTTTTGATTTGATATGAGGTGTTACAAGACAGTTCGACATAATTGCAAGATGGTCACCAAGTGCATGAATCACGATCACATGACCCAGGGCTGAATCTATGAAGATTCATCTTACATACCCTCTTGTTCAGCACTATAGCAACTTGAAACAGTTGTTGAATGAATGGTTAAATGAGAACTACCTGTATACTATTGCCCAGATAGTTAAAGCCATGTAAAGGACCAGAAATTATTATTAGCCCATAAGGCATTTATGCTGTAGGGCAGTGGTCCCCAACCTTTTTTGT